TCTTCTAATAAACTAAATCATACATGTAATAAGGCGTTTTGTTCAACGTTATTTAAATGGCAAATCCCTTTGTACCACTTTGTGGACTCATGGTTGTGAACTGAATTTAGAAATAGTTTTGACGCAAATCTTTGTGTTAAACAAAGGAAATGAAATATGTGGGCTAATGGATGTGTTCAGTGGAGCGAGTTTCCACCGATTCCTCACTCCACCAAAGTAAAGGAGTAAAAGTAAAGAGAAAGTAAAGGGGCTGAATGGAGGAGGCTCGTTCTTTATCCTCGCGCTGCAGATGCTCTGTTTAACTATGACTCTGTTTAACTATGACTCTTAAAGGAAATGAGAGGCGAGACTCTGATTGGTTTAATGCAGGTTATCCTCAAAACACATCCAGAACTCATTAAGAGAATAAGTACAGCCCTGTTAGACCATGCGCCGGGCGCAGAGCAGATTTTACTGTCCTTAAAATAGCAAAAGTGGATTCAGACACAGCCTTAATGCTTTTGTACCGCTTTAGACTTTGCGACTAGATTGTTAAAAGAGAGGCCTCTTTCAGTTTGTTCATCCACTTGCTTTCCAAGACATTGCACATCTTATTGGGGGATGGGCTTAACAGCGGACATCTTCTCTGATTGGCTAGTGAGTTTCGAAAGACGACGCTTCCCTTTTGTTTTGTTTTTATTAATTTTTGTGCATGCGTTACAAGAGAGACTGAGTTTGTTCACCAAACAAGTGGATCTAATCCAACAGATTTGCATTGTAAGTAAAAGTCACAAAGTTATCTTGTTTTTATTTCATGTGTTAAGTTTTTAATATACTCTCAAAATCATTCCACATAAATTTGCAGATTATTATTCACATTTTTCCCAAATCCAAATCCATACTGTGACATTTTAATTCATTTAAAAATATTTCTCAAGTGTTGCTTTGATTGAGGATTGATTATTAACACATTTTAGACACCGCAGTTTTAATAACTCATCTCTAATATCTGATTTATTTTCTCTTTGTCATGATGACAGTCAATAATATTAGACTAGATATTCTTCAAGACACTAGTATTCAGCTTAAAGTGACATGTAAAGGCTTCACTAGGGTAATTAGGGTAAAGTTAGGGTAATTAGGCGAGTCATTGTATAACAGTGGTTTGTTCTGGAGACTATCAGAAACTAATATTGCTAAATGGGGCTAATAATATTGACCCTAAAAAGGTTTTAAAACAATTTAAACCTGCTTTTATTCTAGCCCAAATAAAACAAATAAGACTTTCTCCAGAAGAACAAATATTAGAGGAAATACTGTAAAAATTTCCTGAATCTGTTCAACATCATTTGGGAAATATTAGAATTTCTATTAATTATTAATTAATTTTGGCTTCATCTGTATGTACAATATGTGCATGTATTACACAAAACAAAACACACACAACTAGCAGCACAATGTGGTTTAGCTGTGTTAGTGCTGAGGTTATAGACTGTTCCCAGCATGCACGGCAGCATGAATAAATCATGTAAAACTACCACTTCACTGTACAGTGCTACTGTTAAATGCATTATTTACCACGGCTCTTCAATTACTGCCTTTCTGTCCTTAAATACTGATCGCTGAATGACTGTCAGGATATACAACGGGTAAATAAGCATTGAACACATTGTCATGCTTTTTCCTGGCAATAATATTTCTAAAGGAGCTGTTGACATGGAACTGAAGCAGATTTTGGTGAAAACCCAAAGAATACAAGCGTTAAAACGAAACAAAACAAATGTGTATTAAAGTCTTCTTGAATGCTGGCCGCTTAAAGACGCCTCTCATGTGGAGAATGAAGTCTCATGCATTGCTCAGGTGTGAGTTTCTCACAGACTTCAACAGAGTGTCCAAATCTTGATGCTTCTGTGGGTCTCGTCAATCAAATCGGAGCTTTATTCTGTATTCTCTATTGGATTCGGCTCAGGTGATTGGCTGGGCCATTCTAAAGCTTGATTGTCTTTCTCTGAAGGCATTTGAGAGTCTCTAAGAGAAATGGTGACGTGTCCCACTGTAAGATGGACCTTAAAGAGACAGTTCATCATTTATTCACACTCAAACACATTTCTATCTCCTGTTAAACACAAAATGAGATATTCTGAAGAATGTTTAGAGAAAAAAAAGTAGTCATTGGCATTAAAATTGAACAAACTATCCAACATTCTTCAGCAGATTTTGCTTTGTGGAAAGGGAAACTCAAACTGGTTTTGAACAGGAGTAAATGATAACAGAATTTTCATTTCTGCACGTACTGTCCCTTTAAGGACGCCGTATGATAACTTACTTCATTCTATTCATCAAACCTCTTTTACCGACATCTCACAATAATAAATATCTCATCAATGAAAACAGTATATAAGACAGGAAAAGATGACCTCCCCACTGAGAAGTTGATTTAATGTCTTGAACATGTTACAGCGAGAGAAGTAATTGAGTGTTTGTCGTCTTCATCAAGTTGTTTAGATAGTAAATAAAAGCCTAAATTAAATCTGTGATGAGAGCGTCTCTTCACTAGACTGAATAAATGACAATTTTTCATTCTGAAGTGAGCTAAGAATAGACGTATGCGTCTGAGTGCAAGCAATCCTACAATATATTCACAACTCGCTCAATTTGAAGATCATTTACTGAGCTCGCTGTAATGCATTGTAGGATACAGACACACACACGCGCACGCACACACACACATGTTTGTTTTTGTGACAAGTGGGTACATTGCATGGGTTTACATTTACTTTATACTTTATTCCCCCTTCCCCTAAACCCAACCATCACAGGAGACAGGTTTAATATACGGCTTTAATATTCAACTTCCCAAAGTATACTAAAGCTTACTGCCACAAAACGGAACTCCTGTATTTGAGCACTAAAAACGAAGTATATGTGTGATTTTTGCTGCTTGTTCAAACTACTTGTTTAAAATGACCTGAAACAACACAACTCTTGAGTTTATTTTTTTGGACAACTTAATTTTTTCGCCTCCTTGCATTAACTTAAATAAATTACTTCAACTTCTTACAATTAAAAGAATGACATTTTTCCCACTTATTTATTGCTGAAAACAATAACAAATTAAGTGGAAAGTAATTAATGAATGTAATTGTAGCACCGGGGCGAGGCAGTGGCGCAGTAAGTAAGTTGCTCACAGCAAGAAGATCGCTGGGTCGATCCTCGGCTCAGTTGGCGTTTCTGTGTGGAGTTTGCATGTTCTCCCTGCGTTCGCATGGGTTTCCTCCGGGTGCTCCGGTTTCCCCCACAGTCCAAACACATGCGGTACAGGTGAACTGGGTAGGCTAAATTGTCCATAGTGTGTGAGTGTGTGTGAATGTGTGTGTGGATGTTTCCCAGAGATGGGTTGCGGCTGGAAGGGCATCCGCTGCATAAAAACGTGCTGGATAAGTTGGCGGTTCATTCCGCTGAGGTGACCCCAGATTAATAAAGAAAATGAATGAATAAATGAATTGTAACACCCTGAAGTAATCAGTTAAAGTTTTCACTTTTTACCGTGTAGATATGTCCAGTTTCGACTCAAATATAAAACACAAAATCTTAGATATTCTTAGCAAAGCAAAAATGTCAAAATTAAGTCTATTTGCAAAAATATTACTTGCTTCAAGTTTAAATATGAAAAAAATTCTTAAATCAAGAAGTATTTTCTAGACAAGCTTGTTTTAAGAAATAATAAGTCGAAACGAAGAGAGTTTTTCCTTAAAACAAGCACTAAAATCTGGCAACAGGGTATTTTACTTACTAATGCAAGATTATTTTGCTTATTTTGCTGAAAAACTCACTAAACCCCCGTTTACACTAGTGCGCTTTAGTTTAAAAACGGCGTTTTAGATCAAAAACGATCCGCGTCCACACTAGCATTTCACCTAGCGTTTCTGAACATATCCCCGTCCACACTACGCCACCAATAATGTATATCACGTGACCATTGGTGCACTCTGGGCATGCGCGCTCTAGTATAAACAGGAAGCATGTGTCTCGCTCGGCATTTGGTTATTGTTAGTCAGCAAACACCGGTTGAACAATGAACGCGATGGCGAAGAAAGCAAGAGAGGTGTTTTTGTGGACAGACGACGAGGTCGAGTTACTAAACGTAACAAATGAATAACTGCACAATGGCGCCTAAAACAGACAATAGTGCAAACAGCGCTCCCATTTCTGTGTCCGTGTTGTTGTTTACAGTGAAGGCTGGTCTGCTGTCTTCCGGTAGCGTTAAAGCCATGTGTTATAGTCATGTGATAGGGGCTTGACCAATAAGAGATAAGCAATGACACAAATGCCCCAATCAGGCAGCGAATCTCAGCAGCCCCGCCTCCGTTTTCAGATGTCTCTGTTTTCCCTCATCCACACTGAGGCGGAGCAGCAGCGCTTCAGAATGAAAAAGGCCTCTCCAGTGTTTCCAAAACGCTCCATTTTCGGTGCTTGAAAACTCTGGCGTAGTGTGGACAGATGGCGTAACCGTAGCAAAACTTATGCAATTTCAAACTAAAACACATTAGTGTAAATGGGGCCTTATTATTAGGCACATTGTTTCTCAAAACAAGACAGTATCTTTTGCTTGTCTAGAGCAAGCATCTTGATTTAAGAATTTGTAGATATCTGGACTAGAAACAAGACCGAAACTCTAAGTGAGAAAAGCTTATGTTTTATGTTCAATCAACTTAAAAGAGTAAAATAAATCCTTCTTGTCGTCCTGACACAAATCGATTGAGCGGAACCCACTGCAATATGTTCTGCTGACTTAATCGATTTGTGTTGGGAAAACATGAATGAATCGTGTGGGACCCTGCACTGACGACGTCTACTGTAGGTAGGGCACTCGCTGTGATTCAGCACAGCGCTGTACTGTGACGCAACCTGTCGGACGCAATTAATTAAGCGAGCGCCTGATGATGACACCGCTATCTTTAGCAGCGTGTGTATTAGCGGAGGGAACGCTGACAGCAGGAGTCAACCAGTGTTTCTCTCACCTTCATTTGCGCAAAGGGCATGTCATAGTTCCCCACGTACAGGAGACCAACCGTCTGCGGGATCAGCCTGAGGAAGACACACAAATAAACAGGGGAGTCAGATTTTACACGTGCTGACGGGAAGCATTGTGATGTTCTTCCTCTTCCACACAGCACAACACAGGAGCAAGTATGATTATCCGAGCCTCATAATAAGTGCCTGTGAGACTTTTTTAAGGTCAGGATGAGCTTCATACATACAGCAGGATTGAACATGTCAGGTTTTTCTAATTTCTAAAGGAGCTGTTGAAATGGAATTGAAAGAGCTGAACTACTGAAAATGTGTATAAAGGTTTTTATTAATGCTGGCAGTTTAAAGACGCCTCTTATATGGAGAATGAAGCCTCATGCATTGCATTGTCTTCAACAGAGAGTCAAAATCTTAATGCTTCTGTGGGTCTCGTCTATCCAATCTGAGCTTTATTCTGTGTTCTCTATTGGATTCGGGTCAGGTGATTGGTTGGGCCATTCTACAGCTTGATTTTCTTTCTCTGAAAGCATCTAAGAGTCTCCTTGGCTGTGTTTTGGATCATTGTCTTGCTGAAATGTTTCATCTTTATCCTCCTGCTGATGTAGATGTTGGACTGAAGCAGCTGATCTTCATCTACACTGAGGAAGGGCAGAAGCTTGCTGAAGAACTACTGAGAGATTTCAGCTGCTGTCTGGGACTTCACTGCCCAACTACACCTCCCTTTCTTCATGTGTTCAATACTTTCTCCCTGCGTCATTTCATTTTATTACGCAGAACTTTATTTGTAGAATAATGAGATTTGTTTGTCTTTGTATATATGGATTTCAGTGGTTGTTGGGAAAATGTAAAGCCACCTTAAGTAAAATGTTTTCAGAGAAAAAAGGGTGACATGTTGAACACTTATTTTCCCCACAGTATTTTCAGATATTTAGACTAGAAACGAGACAAAAAAATCTAAGCAAGAAAAACATTTTTGCTTCCACTGTTCACACTTGATTTATTTTTAAAAATAATCTAATATCTAATATCTACGAGTTCTGCCTTAATGAACAGCTGCTTATTAATAGTCATTATGGTAGTAGTTGGGTTTAGGTATTGGATGGTAAGATCATGCATGTACTATATAACCACTAATTTACACTCAATACCTTCATAATAGACAGAAAAGAAGCCACTATTAGGTGCTCATGTGTGTCTTATGAATAAACCTGAGCTTACACATGAAAGCATCTGAATATAGAGTGGTCCTGGCATCTCAATCTGCTAAATGAATAACTGCAGACTGGAAATGCATTCAGATTCAGTAATAAGTAATAATTCCCTGCTTTGTCCAGCGTTTCCTCCAGAGCAGAGCGTGTTTTGCTGCAACCCTCTGCTCTTCATCAGCGGAGGTCTATAATGGTCCCAGCTGTTCGCACATTGCACGCCCACTAAAACGTGTTAGCGTCCAAAATAGTAGTAAATCACCGGGGAGGAGACCGGATCCCGGGCCTGACACTGAGGGCTAAAGAGCACCCTGCCAGTCAGGCTGATGGCGCTGTATATTTGGAGCCTCTCAACAGCCCACTGTGCATTCTCGTCCCCTCTCTGACATGCAGATGCATTTTTTTGTCTATTAATGACATGCGTGTTATTGTTTCTGCGACTAGAAAGGCATCTGTCACATAAAACATATGTCTGAGTAATTATCAGTTCAATCCATGGAGGCGACCCCTGACAAATTAGAGACCATGCTGAAGCAGAGGTTCTTAACCTTTTGCAAAAATATATATAATAATAATAATAATAATAAAAATAATTTGTATTATTATTTATTAACATTATTATTATTATTACTTATTAACATATTAATATCATTATAATCATCTTTATTTGTATTACTTATTAACATTATTATTATTATTATCATTATTATTATTACTTATTATTATTATTATTAGTAGTAGTAGTAGTAGTAGTAGTAGTATTGCCATCATCATCATTATTATTATTATTATCATCATCATTATTATTACTTATTAGTATTAGTAGTAGTAGTAGTAGTATTATCATCATCATCATTATTATTTTTATTATTATCATCATTATTATTACTTATTATTATTATTATTACCATCATTATTATTACTTATTATTATTATTAGTAGTAGTATTATCATCATCATCATCATCATTATTATTATCATCATCATTATTATTATTACTTATTATTATTATTAGTAGTAGTAGTATTAATATCATCATCATCATTATTATTTTTATTATTATTATTATTATTATCATTATTATTACTTTTATTATTATTATTATTACTTATTATTATTATTATTAGTAGTAGTAGTAGTATTTTTATCATCATCATCATTATTTTTATTATTATTATTAGTAGTAGTAGTAGTAGTATTATCATCATTATTATTACTTATTATTATTATTATTATCATCATCATTATTATTACTTATTATTATTAGTGATAGTAGTATTATCATCATCATCATCATCATCATCATTATTATTATCATCATCATTATTATTATTACTTATTATTATTAGTAGTATTAATATCATCATCATTATTATTATTATTATTATTATTATTATTATTATTATTATCATTATTATTACTTTTATTATTATTATTATTATTACTTATTATTATTTTTATTATTATTATTATTAGTAGTAGTAGTATTATCATCATTATTATTATTACTTATTATTATTATTAGTAGTAGTAGTATTTTTATCATTATTATCATTATTATTATTATTATTATTATTATCATCATTATTATCATCATCATCATCATCATTATTATTATCATCATCATTATTATTATTATTATTAGCAGATGTGCTTCTGTCATTCTTACGCCTTCAATAATTGGTAGAGCAATGTGTGAACTGCTGAAACATGCATTTCTCCCTTTTGATTATTAATTAAGAGCATGGAGCTCAACCATCTGTTGACTGCTCGTAGATTCATGCAGACGTCAACCTGGTCGTCTTTATACCCATGATGACAGTTTCACGAAAGATTTCCACAATTTTTGCCTTATTTCCATGAAACGCTGATGTAAACAGATTCGATCAAGTGAACGTCTGCATGCCAAGTGTAATCATGAAACTGCCGGATCAAACCCGCAGTGCTCGTTCAGACTGACACTGATTAAATGGTTCCCATGGCGTCCATCTGTATCAGTCGGCAGATCAGTCTCTGCACTCTCATTGGGCACCACTGTGGTGTGTCATTGCTAATTTGCATAAGTGTTAAAGACAAACAAGAGCTTGCACAATACAACAAGATAAAAAAAAAATAAATAAAACATGGGATAAATAGATATGTTGATAGGTATGTTGATTCAAACATATTCACTGACAGTTCCTGAAAGTCTGTGTTATTTAGCGGTTGTTATCTGGGAATATCATACCTTAGAATTTAGTGACTGACCAACCAGAATTGAGTATTCCAGTTTGCCGTTTAATAAATACACTCACTGGCCACTATATTAGGTACACCTGTCCAACTGCTCGTTAGCGCAAATTTCTAATCAGCCAATCACATGGCAGCAGCTCACTGCATTTATGCATGTAGACATGGTCAAGACGATCTGCTGTAGTTCAAAGCGAGCATCAGAATGGGGAAGAACGGGGATTCAAGTGACTTTGAACGTGGCATGGTTGCTGCTGCCAGACGGGCTGCTCTGAGTATTTCAGAAACTGCTGATCTACTGGGATTTTCATGCACAACCATGTCTAGGGTTTACAGAGAATGCTCTGACAAAGAGGGAATATCCAGTGAGCGGCAGTTCTGTGGGCGCAAATGCCTTGTTGATGGTCAGAGGAGAATGGCCAGACTGGTTCCAGCTGATAGAAAGGCAACAGTAACTCAAATAAGCACTCGTTACAACCGAGCTCTGCAGAAGAGCATCTCTGAACACACAACACGTCCAACCTTGAGGCGGATGGGCTACAGCAGCAGAAGAGCACACCGGGTGCCGCTCCTGTCAGCTAAGAACAGGAAACTGAGGCTACAATTCACACAGACTCACCAAAACTGGACAATAGAAGATTGGAGAAACGTTGCTGCTCTGATGAGTCTTCATTTCTGCTGACACATTCGGATGCTCGGCTCACAATTTGGCCTCAAAAACATGAAAGCATGGATCATCCTGCCTTGTATCAGCGGTTCAGGCTGGTGGTGGTGGTGTAATGGTGTGGGGGAGATTTTCTTTGGGTCCATTAGTACCAATTGAGCATCAACGCCACAGCCTACCTGAGTATTGCTGCTGACCATGTCCATCCCTTTATGAGCACAGTGTCTCCATCTTCTGATGGCTACTTCCAGCAGGATAACGCAGCATGTCATAAAGCTCAATCATCTCAGACTGGTGAACATGACGATGAGTTCACTGTACTCAAATGGCCTCCACAGTCACCAGAGCTCAATCCAATAGAGCAGCTTTGGGATGTGGTGGAACGGGAGATTGGCATCATGGATGTGCAGCCGACAAATCTGCAGCAACTGTGTGATGCTATCATGACAATATGGAGCAAAATCTCTGAGGAATATTTCCAGTAGCTTGATGAATTATATGTTGTTTTATACGGTTCAAACTGTATATAGTATTGCCCTCACCCCATATTTCATCTCCTTTTTGTTATACCTGTGTCATACCTATGTCATTATACAGATTTGTGTCCTGATATGTTACAAACACACACACACACACACACACACACACACACACACACACACACACACACACACACACACACACACACACACACACACACACACACACACACACACACACACACACACACACACACACACGGGAAACACAAAGTGTAGATGTGTGCACCGGATGTAAATCAAGCAAGCTAGAATATACAGAGGCTATAAAGTGTTGGAGAAATAACACACCGGCAGACTGCAGGGAATAATATAGACGTTTCCTTTCACCTGAAAACACTGCACAAAATAAACTCAAGGACTGTGTCTACAGTATATCAGCTTATTTATTTACAATAACTTTCCAAGGCCTTGCATTTC